GCAGAGAGGAGACCCCTGAATCCAGCCCCTGCCTAACGCGGCTGTGCTCTCCCATTGCAGAGAAGACGGGGAAGGTGCTGGGGGAGTTTTGCCGGTGCTACAAGGAGCAGTACGGCGTAGCTCTCTTCAACAGCGTCCGCTATGAGATCGAAGGCAACGGAGGGCCACAGGCCCAGCTGCTCCACCGCAAGGTAAGAGTCCGGCTCCGCGCGAGGAGCCTGGAGCCGGCGGGGAGCTCCATCCCTGTGCCCAGTGAGCACGGACCGATGTCCTCCCCAAAGCCCGGGCACATCCCCTCTCCCCATTCCACCCTGCCGGGGTGGAATGTAGTCCCCGTGCCACTGGTCCAGCCCATCCCCCGGCACTGTGCACCGTCCGTGCTGCATGTGGGGCTCCCTGGGATGGTTTTCTTTCCCAACCCATGCAACGAGCAGGGGCAAGGCTGGCTTTTGGCTGCAGGTCTTGTGGATGCCTGTGCTTGATGCCAGGGCTGGCAGGAGCTCGTGGGACCAGTGAAGCCTCAAGCAGGACATGCCAGGCTGTTGTCCTCCCGCTCCTGGGTGCGAGCGATGCTCCAGCCCAGGCAAAAGCCCAGGGAGGGGTAGGAAACCCCTGGCAGGTGTCCCTGACCCCATGGGGGAAGAGGAGGTGGCTCCGAGTCTGATCTCCAGCAGCCATGTGTCTCCTGCCTGGCAAAAGGTCTCCAAGCATCCCCCCTTGTTGCTTGAGGCTCTGGCACCCGGGGACGGATCCTGCCCTCCCCTCCCACCTCCAAAGGCAGATGCACGTCAGCCGGGGCTTCTCGCCGGCAGACAGGGTTTGGGGTTCCTCTCTGGCCGGGTCGGTGGAGCTGCTGACCTGTGGGTGCTCCTTGAAAGCAAGAGAAGATGTAATTGCACATGGGGACGGGCTTCTGCTTTTGTCTGAGGCTTTTTAAAGAAATCTAGAGACTGCATTCATGAGACCAGACTTGAGCCCTGGGTGCTCACAGCGGCTGTCCTTCTGGCTCACTCACGAAGGTTACATCTTGCCCAGGCACCTGGACGTGCCCCATCTCCTCTGAAAGCTGCCTGGGTGCTGGGTCTGCTGAGCAAAATAAAGGCGTGGAGGTTCCTGGGCAGGAGCTGGGCGCCCGGCATCCTTGGCATGGCGTCCCTTGGGTTCTTTGCAATTTGGCAGATGCCATCAGCCCCCTGGGGGGTACCTCCCTCCCAAGGTTGGTTGCTTCATTAAAAAGCTCCAGCAAGCAGCCCAGGAATGTCTGAGGAACGGCGGCGAGGCAGGGAGGTCAGGGACTCCGTGCAAGTCTTCTAAAACACCAGTATATAAATAGCACATTCCTCTTGCGCGATGCCCCGTCTGCTGCCCATCCTCTGCCAGGGCACAGGCAGAGCCTCAGGCCGGGATGTAGCAGGGCTCCAAACACCGCGGGGACCTGTGTGTCTGTGGGGTGGCTCTGCAAGGAGCTGGGGAGAGCATCTCCTCCGGCTGGGCTTTGCGCTCCCCAAATATGCCAAAAAAAGTTGTGGATGTCAAGAAGATGCAGGATAGCATCCTCCCTGTCCTGGGGCAGGTCCAGCTGGAATCTGGCATTTGTTTTTTTTAATTTATATTTATTTTTTACCTTATATTTTGCCATCTCTGTGGGGATGTGGTGCTCAGAGGCAGCTCCCGCAGTGATACCGGGGCCTGGAGGCCTTCCTGAGCAGAGGGGGACAGCTAGGCTGTGGTCTGAATTGTGGCTCAGTCGCCTGAAATGCCAGCAAGGAGCAGCAGCGATGAGAACAAGGAATAAATGTTTCTGTCTTTGGTTTCTCCAGCAGCCCAGGCGTCCCCAGCCAGCGGTGGGGACAGCGCACGTCGTGGCCTTGGTCCGACATCCTCACGTGCCCCTGAAAACCAGTCCCTGAGCATCCTCTCTTCTCATAACACCCCCTCCTGCCTCTCCCGGACGAGCCCCAAAGCTGACGTATCCAGACCCAGGTCTCGCTCCCCCCGGCAGGGATGCCGGCATTG